AAGATGAGTAGGGAAAAAAAATGTCAGTGGCCTTCACCTGTAAAACCATTCCTGTTTTGGGGGTCGACTCATTGTTGCCCATCCAGTGCACCTGTTGTTAATTTCATTACCACCAAAGCAGCTGAAACTGATGAACAACCCCCTCTGCTACTTACCTGACCAGATCCATATCCCAGGAGTGTCATGGACTTGATGCTAGACTTTGATTACAGGTCTGGAGTGGAACCCAGTGCACAGATCAGAAATAAAAGAGCGCCACCAGCTAAGTGTAGGCATTTATTGGTAACATAACCCCATACAAATACATGTATGCACTGACTGCATTAATGTAAGGATAGGAATATAAACCGGCATCTCCATGCATCGTTCGTCCAGGAGGTGCCCAGGGACAGCAAAGTTCAGCTGGGAGATGGCTGGTAATGCAGAGCTGCGCTGGGAAGCTGCTAGATCAGGGATGGGCAACTGTGGCTCTCCAGCTGTTGGTGAACTACAAGTCCCATCATGCCTCTGCCTTTGGGAGTCATGCTTGTAACTGTCCGTTTTGCAATGCCTCATGGGACTTGTAGTTCTACAACAGCTGGAGGGCCACAGTTGCCCACCCCTGTGCTAGATGAACATGGCAGCGACGTAACCCCGCTGGAACCCGACGCTGTAATGGATGCAGCTGGGGACTTCCGGACACTCGGCTGGCTCAGCTGAACTCAGCAGGCGGACGACAACACAATGTCAGCGTGGACAGGTGGAGTGAAGCGTTTCGGAGCCAAGACACGCCCCTTTATCAAGCCAAATAGCTATTTGGCCTGCTAAAGGGGCGTGTCTTATCCCTGAAACACTTGGGGTTTGTTTTACTAATAAATGGCTACACTTAGATGGTGGCGCCCTCTCTCTTTTAGTAATATAGAGACCTGCTTGCTGCTTTCAGAACACACTAATAGAATTGGGAAACAATTTAGTATCAACATTTAGTCTGTTGGTTTGATTTACTAAAACTGGAGAGGGCAAAATCTGGTGTAGCTGTGCATGGGAGGGAGCCAATCAGCTTCAAACCTGGGAGCTGATTGGCTCCCATGCACAGCTGCACCAGATTTTGCACTCTCCAGTTTTAGTAAGTCTACCCCTATGTTCGTCATGGGGGTTCGTGCGGAAAAAAGTGAGGGGCATCACATCCCCCATTTCTGATTAAAGCATAACTAAAAGTAGAACTATTTTTTTATCATTTTGGACAGAGTGGGGAGGGATTAGAACCCCTATTGGGTTTTTATTGCTGTCTGTGCCCCCGTTGGGAAGATTCACCCTCTCTCTCTCTGTGTGCTGTTTACCATTACCACCAAGGGTGAAAGAAAAATTCTAAATTTTGAGTTGTCACCAGAACAAGAAGAGAGGGGAAATCTTCCAATGGGGACACTAGATCTGGGATTAACTCACTTTGCAGTTATAGTCTCACTTTTTTTTTTTTTTTTTTATGGTTGAACTGGATGGATTTTTCCCTTTTTTCAGCCAGATTAAAATGTAACTTCCTGTTTCAACTATGGGACAGGAAGTGAAAGGAAATCTCCCCAAAAAGGAACACAGATAGCAAAAAAAAAAAAAGAAATTACAGAGAGGATATAATTCTCCCTTACTTTATCAAAAAAAAAAAAAAAAAAAACCCACAAAAAAAATAAAAATAAATAAAAAGCAAAAACCAAACCACAAAAACCACAAAAAAAAAAACAAAAAACAAAAAAGAGAATAAAAAAAAACCAAAAACAGAATAAAAACCAAAAACAAAAAAACCGAATAAAAAACCAAAAAAAAAAAACAGAAAGAAAAAAAAAACAGAATAAAAAAAAAAAAAAACCCAGAATAAAAAACAGAATAAAAAAAACAAAAACAAAAAAACAGAATAAAAACAAAAACAAAAAAAACAGAATAAAAAAAACAAAAAAAAAACAGAATAATAAAAAAAAACAAGAAAATTAAAAAAAACAAAGAACAAAACAAAAAAAAACACACAAAAGAAAATCACAAAAAGAAACCAAACAAAAAAAAAAGAAAAGCCACACAAAAAGAAACCAAACCAAAAACACACAAAAAACCCCCAAAACAAACCCCCCCCCCCAAAAAAAACCAAACAAACTAAACGGTTTTGCCTTTAGTTCTACATTAAGCCCATATTGGGACCACTTATTAGCACAGATCATGAAGAGTGGTCAGTCCTCATACAGAACAAGCAGGATGAACGTGGTGCTCACACACAGGACAACCCTTTATGATCACGAAATACATTTTATTGTGCGCTGTGAGCCCTTCGCAGAGTTTCGGCAATGTGGAAATATGCAGAACACCGAGGTCTGAGGTCTCCAATCGTGCCGGCAAGCAATTGAACTCTCAGCCTGTCCTGCAATCACGCACAGAGAAGTCATCGATTGTCTGATAACGGTCCCCGCTGGGGCTTTTGTCACAAAGTTCCCTTACAGCTTTGGAGGAAGAACAGCCAATCAGGTGCAAGATTCCATTTTGGTGGTACAGTTCAAGTTGGAATGATGGGGGGGATCCAATCTAGGGTTCAGCTGGTGATTTTCCAGAAGACTTCTTACTTAGTCTAAAATATGGAGGACGAGGGGTCAGGGAAGGTGGGCAGAAGACAGCACTGACCCCCATTTTCTGATCTGCTGGTTGCAGGTCTGTGTGCTCTCCTCACCAGGTTCTCGGGTCTTAGAGACTTCCATATACGCATATATGGGATGGTTACATATATAGAGGGCAGCCACTCACGCAACCGGATTCCTCCTAGCTCTTCTGATTCAAACACAGACCACGCTGAAGCACAGCATCCCCAAAGTGGTCTATTTGGATCAATAAAGCTTGGTACGTGGCCACCATCTTTATATGAAGCGTGGGTGTAGGCCAAGCCCTGGCCACCATCTTTATATGAAGCGTGGGTGTAGGCCAAGCCCTGGCCACCATCTTTATATGAAGCGTGGGTGTAGGCCAAGCCCTGGCCACCATCTTTATATGAAGCGTGGGTGTAGGCCAAGCCCTGGCCACCATCTTTATATGAAGCGTGGGTGTAGGCCAAGCCCTGGCCACCATCTTTATATGAAGCGTGGGTGTAGGCCAAGCCCTGGCCACCATCTTTATATGAAGCGTGGGTGTAGGCCAAGCCCTGGCCACCATCTTTATATGAAGTGTGGGTGTAGGCCAAGCCCTGGCCACCATCTTTATATGAAGTGTGGGTGTAGGCCAAGCCCTGGCCACCATCTTTATACGAAGTGTGGGTGTAGGCCAAGCCCTGGCCACCATCTATAGATGAAGTGTGGGTGTAGGCCAAGCCCTGGTAAGCTGTGGCCACCATCTTTGATTCAAACACAGACCACGCTGAAGCACAGCATCCCCAGTGTGGTCTATTTGGATCAATAAAGCTTGGTACGTGGCCACCATCTTTATATGAAGTGTGGGTGTAGGCCAAGCCCTGGCCACCATCTTTAGATGAAGTGTGGGTGTAGGCCAAGCCCTGGCCACCATCTTTAGATGAAGTGTGGGTGTAGGCCAAGCCCTGGCCACCATCTATAGATGAAGTGTGGGTGTAGGCCAAGCCCTGGCCACCATCTATAGATGAAGTGTGGGTGTAGGCCAAGCCCTGGTAAGCTGTGGCCACCATCTTTAGATGAAGTGTGGGTGTAGGCCAAGCCCTGGCCACCATCTTTAGATGAAGTGTGGGTGTAGGCCAAGCCCTGGCCACCATCTTTATATGAAGTGTGGGTGTAGGCCAAGCCCTGGCCACCATCTTTAGATGAAGTGTGGGTGTAGGCCAAGCCCTGGCCACCATCATTAGATGAAGTGTGGGTGTAGGCCAAGCCCTGGCCACCATCTTTAGATGAAGTGTGGGTGCAGGCCAAGCCCTGGTCACCATCTTTATATGAAGTGTGGGTGTAGGCCAAGCCCTGGCAAGCCGGCACCAGAGGTGTGCGCTTGAAGCGGGCTTGTTTCTTTCTGTAATGGAAATCTTCCATAAGGGAAACATGGAGGCTGCTGCTGAGCTCTTTCTGAAAATGCTAGGTGCCTGGCTGTGATGCTAATCCTGTAGAGTAGGCAGATTGGGACCTGCGACTCTTCCAGTCAGCATACGTGCTCAAAATAGTGATGCTCATGCCAGTGATGGTCAGCCAGGAAACAAGGATTTTCAGACGAGGTTATGACTGGCAGCCTACACTCCACCTCAACTTGTCCCTTAATAAAGCTTTGAAGAGACGCCCTCATCTTGCCCATCCAGGACATAGTGACAGGTTCTCTTTAAAGCCTGCATAGTCCATGCATCATGGCAGGGGGGGGGTTACATAACACGCTATACCTGGAAGTACCAGGTATTTAGTGGTGGAAGCCATTGGAGGAGGAATGGCAAGAAGCCCCGGAGAGTATAAGGTGATTGAGGGGCGTGGCTTAAAGAGACTTTGGGCATTCGTTCTGCAGCAAGTCTCTTTAAGGCCCACCCCTCAATCGCCTTATACGCTCCAGGGCTCCCTGCCAATCCTTCTCCCAGATCAACGATCTCCAAGACCTGAAAATGGGGCCTACAGCCAGCAGACTTTGGGGGGGGATTAGCAGGTAACACTGTTACTTAGCTCACAGCCTCCATGGTGCAACCAAGTTGGAGGAGAGAATGGGTCTCCACCAACCAACTGAAAATGGGTCTCCACCAACCAGCTGAAAATGGGTCTCCACCAACCAACTGAAATGACTCAGAAAACATGGACACCTTTTGGAAATGCTCAGGCTGGTTGGCCATTGGAGTTCAGGGATCGGTTCAGGTCAAGTGCCATCAGCCTTCCGTTATAGTTCCATCATTGTTCTCCAGGTTTCGGGAATCTATACAACCCAACGTGACCAGACTGGCCCTTCCAGTTGTAAGACCAAAGGGTGGCCTAAAACGTGGACTACCCCAATGAAGCCCCAGCCAACATCTGGCCATATTTCCTCAGTTGGGTCTTCCACAAATCCACATCTATAAATATCGCTCTCTACGACTGCTTGGAGGTTTCCCCTCGTCCACCAGGTGGCCTGTGCTGCTTCCTTCCCATCACCCCACCTCGGCCCAGGCCTGGCTTCTTCCTCTTTGGCCCCTGGCTCTCCACCTTCAGTTCCTGGAGCCACTGGGAGTCATAGCTGCCGGGGGCCTGGTAGCCAGGCTCAGCGGTATCCAGGGGGTCCTTACTGAGAAGGATGCAGATAGAGGGGCAGTTTCTCTTTACGGTCAGCGGGTCCAGGCCCACCTCGGGTACAATGGATTCCCAGATCTCCTCGGTCTGCCTGTAGAAGATCTTGGTGATCTGGTGCAGGTCCTTCACCCTCCTCTTCATGATCTCCACACAGGTGAGGGTCTTGCCGAGGGCCTTGCCTGTGCCACTGAACAGAATCTGGCGCACGTTCTCGCTCTCCATCTTGCCGATGGCGAAGCCCATGAGATTACGGATCTTGCTGCCATCTTTGACCTTCATCTCGATGATGTCTGTGGGAAGAGAAGAAAAGGGCAGCTCCACGGGCTTCTCCTCCACCCGGACTTTCTTGTAGTTCTCCATGACGTTCTCCTACGGGCAATGGACAAAAGTGTTATGTAAGGGCCACAGCTCCTCCAGTAGGATCATAGATGTATGGGGCACCGACACCAAGTGGGGAAGGAGGGGCTCCGCCACACGCAAACACTAACTGCACTTAAAGCACAACCTCAGTCTGCTCCCGGCATTGGTGTGAATGAGCCCCAATCAGCAGGTGACATTTCTCAACCACTTCCCGTCCGGCCCATGTATATAAACGGCCAGATGGGAGCAGTGCAGGGGCGGCCATTTTAGTCTGGGAGCGCACAGCACCGCGATCCGGTGCCCGCTGTGTCCTCCGCACCGATCGTTGTACGGGACCTCTGTGTGAGGTCCCGATCATGTGATCTCTGATTGGCCAATCAGTGATCACATGCAGAGTAGTAAGCAGGATGTCACTTCTGACATCATTGCTTACTACGTGTGAAATCTGTGAATGATCACAGAGGTCACATGGTACAGGGCTATTCACAACAGTCTTGTACCATGTGACAAGCTGTGACCAATCACAGCTCACACAGTATTTCTCAATGGCTGCAGGAATGCAGCCAGAGAGGAGAAATGATTGCTTTTACAGCCTTTATGGGTGGAAAAGCAAACAGTGTAAAAAAAAAAAAATCTTCACACCCCCCCCAAGTAGTACAGTGTCACCATGGTGACAGTACACTGCTAGGGTGACAGTATGTTCAAAAAAAAAAAAAAAAAAAACATCTAAAAAAATAAAATAAAAATGTAAAAAAAAAAAAAAAAAAGTTGAAAAAATTATAATTTGATTATAAACTAATTTTGGTTATTTTTTTTTTTTTACTAAAAAGATAGATGAATACATTTTGGCCAAGATTTATGATGAAATATTATTTATTTGCAAAATTTTATTTTAAAAGAAACACTTTTTTTTCCAAATTTTTGGACTTTTTCATTTATATAGCCCAAAAAAAATAAAATAAAAAATCCCAGCGGTGAATAAATACCACCAAAACTAAAGTTTTATCTGTCTAAAAGAAATGATAAAAAATGTCATATAGGTACAGTGTTGCATGACCGCGCAATTGTTATTCAAAGTGTGATAGCGCTGAAAGCTGAAAATTGGCCTGGACTGGAAGGGGGGGGGGGGGGGGAGCGCCCGGACTGGAAGGGGGGGGGGGCCGGGGAAGCGTACGGACTGGAAGGGGGGGGGGGGGGCCGGGGGAAGCGTACGGACTGGAAGGGGGGGGGGGGGGGGGCGGGGGAAGCGTCCGGACTGGAAGGGGGGGGGGGGGGGGGGGGGGGCGGGGGAAGCGTCCGGACTGGAAGGGTGTGATAAAGTGTGATCTGGAGCTCGGCTTCAGTTTGTTAGTGTATTTAAATCTGCTAGTCCATCTAACACCCCCCAGAGTGAGCCCCCCGTGGTCAGAAGCAGGGTACGTCATTGTAATGTCACCACGTCAGCTCTCCACCTCATGTAATCAGAAAACACCTTGCATTCATTGGGACCGGAGCTGTCCCGGGAGGGTGGGGGTGTCTGGCACTGGGAATGCCGCTTTCCTGGCTGTCAGGAGGAGGAGCCTCCATCCAGGAGAGGAAGCCAGGCGGACAGCATTTCCTGGCATCGCCCAATATACTGGGAAGGAGGTGGTCTGGTATAGTGGCTCCCCCTACAGGAGGAAACCCGCACCGCCAGCCGGGGTCATGGCTCCCTTCTCACATCACAGGGACACTTAAAGGGAAGCACGTGTCCCCCCTGAATACAGGGAATGCTGGCATTTGTGGTGCACCAGCAGAGCCCCCAGTCATGGAACTACTACTCCCAGCACACCACCTATGGAGGGACAGGGAAGACCGACTCACCACACATCGATCCCCACACACCTCACCGATCCATCCGGGTCCTCACTGCGCCGCCATCTTACTGTGATGTCATCATTGGGGGGCGGGACTTCGGAGCCCGCCAATCAATCGTGAGATGTTTAACGCCCTTCCGGTGTGCGGCTCACAGTGGAACGCACACGTGTATGCCGAGTGCTGGGGAATGCTGCCACCCGCCGGTCACTGCTGGAACTACATCTCCCATTCACTGCCTAAGAGCAATATGATTAACCCCCTCCCTGCTCTACACCTCCCCCCCATTTTAAACATCTACACCCCCTCCACTATATACATCTACACCCCCCCCACACTATGTACATCTACCCCCTACACTATATACATCTACACCCCCCACTATATACATATTAACCCCCAGCCTGCTCTACCCCCCTTCCCACTACATATATCTACACCCCCCACTACACAGATTAACCCCTTCCCTGCTCTACCCCCCCCAACTATATACATCTACATCCCCCCCCCACTATATACACCTGGATCCCCCCCACTATATACATATTGACCCCTTCCATGTTCTACCCCCCCCCTCCCACTACATACATCTACACCCCCCACTATATACATATTAACCCCTTCCCTGCTCTACCCCCCCCTCCCACTACATACATCTACACCCCCCCCACTACATAGATTAACCCCTTCCCTGCTCTACACCCCCCCACTATATACAGAGTAGCCCCTTACCCGCTCTACACCTCTCCCCACTAGATGTATATAGTTGGGGGGAGGTATATATAGTGGGGGGGTATAGATGTAAGTAGAGTGTGTGTGTGTGGGGGGGGAGGTGTAGAGCAGGGAAGGGGTTACTCTGTATATGGGGGGAGGTTTAGATGTACAGTATCTCCCAGAAGGGGGGAGGGGACTCACTTCTGGGAGATACTGTAGAGAGATGCAGTCTGTGTCCTGGTCCCAGCATTCTCATTGTACCTCTGTACTCCTCTCCTCTCTATGTCAGACACACAATCATATAAACACCACAATAATAAAACTCAGACACCACAATTCCAGTATTTTATTCTGTCTGCAGAATCCTCCCGGAACAGTCGGATACAATGTAACATCGTACAGAGGAATGATTCCTTTATTATACTTCATGGGTGAGTACAGAGGACATCCCTCCCCATTGGTGGACAGAGGAATGGAAGGACCATGGTGGAGTTATCAGATGAATTCTTTCTCTGCTGCACACCCCCTACTACATGACACCACCCCTACCTCTCATCTCAGGTGATTATGGGGGGGGGGTTACATACAGTACAGACATGGCTCTATAGAATACCCCTCATCTCAGGTGATGTATGGGGGGGGGTACGTATAGTACAGTCATGGCTCTCCATAGAATACCCCTCATCTCAGGTGATGTATGGGGGGGGTACATACAGTATAGTAATGGCTCTCTATAGGATACCCCTCATCTCAGGTGATGTATGGGGGGGGTACATACAGTAGTCATGGCTCTCTATAGGATACCCCTCATCTCAGGTGATGTATGGGGGGGGGGTACATACAGTAGTCATGGTTCTCTATAGGACACCCCTCATCTCAGGTGATGTATGGGGGGGGGGTACATACAGTAGTCATGGCTCTCTATAGGATACCCCTCATCTCAGGTGATGTATGGGGGGGGTACATACAGTAGCCATGGCTCTCTATAGGATACCCCTCATCTCAGGTGATGTATGGGGGGGGTACATACAGTAGTCATGGCTCTCTATAGAATACCCCTCATCTCAGGCGATGTATGGGGGGGGTACATACAGTATAGTAATGGCTCTCTATAGGATACCCCATATCTCAGGTGATGTATGGGGGGGAGGTACATACAGTAGCCATGGCTCTTTATAGGATACCCCTCATCTCAGGTGATGTATGGGGGGGTACATACAGTAGTCATGGCTCTTTATAGGATACCCCTCATCTCAGGTGATGTATGGGGGGGGGGGGTACATACAGTAGCCATGGTTCTCTATAGGACACCCCTCATCTCAGGTGATGTATGGGGGGGTACATACAGTAGCCATGGCTCTCTATAGGATACCCCTCATCTCAGGTGATGTATGGGGGGGGGGTACATACAGTAGTCATGGCTCTCTATAGGATACCCCTCATCTCAGGTGATGTATGGGGGGGGTACATACAGTAGTCATGGCTCTCTATAGGATACCCTTCATCTCAGGTGATGTATGGGGGGGGGGTACATACAGTAGTCATGGCTCTCTATAAGATACCCCTCATCTCAGGTGATGTATGGGGGGGGGTACATACAGTAGTCATGGCTCTCTATAGGATACCCCTCATCTCAGGTGATGTATGGGGGGGGGTACATACAGTGGTCATGGTTTTCTGTAGGATACCCCTCATCTCAGGTGATGTATGGGGGGGGGGGGTACATACAGTACAGTCATGGCTCTATAGGATACCCCTCATCTCAGGTGATGTATTGGGGGGGGGGGGGGGGGTACATACAGTAGTCATGGCTCTCTATAGGATACCCCTCATCTCAGGTGATGTATGGGGGGGGGGGGGTACACACAGTAGCCATGGCTCTCTATAGGATACCCCTCATCTCAGGAGATGTATGGGGGGGGTACATACAGTAGTCATGGCTCTCTATAGGATACCCCTCATCTCAGGAGATGTATGGGGGGGGGGTACACACAGTAGTCATGGCTCCATAGGATACCCCTCATCTCAGGTGATGTATGGGGGGGGGGGGGGGTACACACAGTAGTCATGGCTCTATAGGATACCCCTCATCTCAGGTGATGTATGGGGGGGGGGTACATACAGTAGTCATGGCTCTATAGGATACCCCTCATCTCAGGTGATGTATGGGGGGGGGTACACACAGTAGTCATGGCTCTATAGGATACCCCTCATCTCAGGTGATGTATGGAGGGGGGGGGGGGTACACACAGTAGTCATGGCTCTCTATAGGACACCCCTCATCTCAGGTGATGTATGGGGGGGGGGGTACAGTAGTCATGGCTCTCTATAGGACACCCCGTACAATACAGTGACAGTTCTGTAGATCCAGCAGACAAGGAATGCAGGTGACATAATGTTGGATTTTATTGGATGTAATACACAATATTCACCACTAGGAGGAAGAACAAGGAAGTCAATCAATAAATACATTTTTTTAACAGGAGCTGGATGCCCGATTACCTGCAGACTGTACATCACCCCGGGTCAGCAGGCGTATCGCCACCCTTGCAGTAGCGCACCCCTCTTTATGAACCATTCCCCAGCCAGGGGCCAGCTCAGATCAGCTCCCACCTATGACAGCCGGAGAGGGGGGGGGGCTCCAATGTGACAAATCATATTACAATAAAACCCAGTAGCGGGGTCATGCTAGAAGCAGCGATTTGTATACATGGTAGACGGCGCCGTTAGTATAAATAATAATGTGGGGGGGGGGGGGGGGGGCGGGTTACAGAGAAAGGGGGCGGAGTCACTCGGATGCAGGTTTCACTTGTTTGGCTGCCTCCATCTTGATTAGAGTCTCATCCCACATGACAAACTGTTTGGAGAGGAGAAGAGTCTGAGGCGGCTGGTTAAGGAGCACACGGCCTCGTTCACACAATGACAATATCCCCGCCATGACCCGCAGCACAGCTTTCATCATTCACAGGTCACACCCAGGGGCGGACTGACCATTTGGAAACTCGGGCACTGCCCGAGGGCCCGGGGTCAGTAGGGGGCCCCATGAGATGCCCCTGGTACCTTTTTCATAGGCTTTTTTGAGTTTGGGAAAGGACACAGGGGCCCCATGATCCCCTATTGCCCGGGGGCCCCATGAGTTGTCGGTCCGCCCCTGGTGACAACTGTAGGCGAAGGACAGCTGACAGGTTGATAGAAGTTACCGCTGGCGGTGGCAACAAATCAGATCACCATCGCTGACCTCCTTCAGGAGTCTATTCCCCTGGCTGTCATGCTGCTCCTCTGCCTTCCCTATTTAGTGAGCTGTACCAAGACTGTCTGCTGTATTCTGAAAGCAAGTCTCTTGGCAGCACTCACCTGTCACATGACAGTATTTTATAAATTGCAGGCAACGTGCTGCAGCTCAGGAGCAGTCTCTAGTGGTCTCTTGTCATTTAGTGGCAGTTTCTTTTTGTAATCGGCGAGCTGGACAGCTGCACAGAGAGCTGGGGGAGGAGAAACAGCAATATACTGGTCTTCCCAATGTATAAGTAAATAGGTGCAGCGCTACGAAGAAAACATTACTATTGTCCGGGAATCTATATATACCAAGAAAAGTGACAGTCTGTGCCGGTCTAGGTGCAAATAAGCTGTAGAATCCACAAATAGTGCTCCAATATCATGTGGTAAAATTGCGCACTCACCAGATGCGTAAAGTATATTACGCATTAAATGACACTGGTTGGGTTTAAAAAGAGGAATAACGGCAGTTACAGTGAAGGAAATCAGTATTTGATCCCCAGTTGTTTTGTGTTTCTTCCATTTGTGAATGATTGCACCGACTGTTGTCACCTTCTCACCAAGCTGCTTGGCCATAGTTTGGTAGCCCAGTCCAGCCTTGTGTAGGTCTACCATCTTGTCCCCGACACCGAAAAGGACGTCACCGCGCGATTACCGGAAGCTCCTCCCCACGTACCGACTAGTTGCGTCACGCCCACTTCGTGACCCTGATGAAGCAACTAGTCGGTACGTGGGGAGGAGCTTCCGGTAATCGCGGTGACGTCATTTCCAGCGTGGGGGCCATATTGGAACACCCTGTGTATTACCCATGCAGTACACCCATAGCATGTGGTAGGAGGCTGGAAGATTCATCGTTTTGTGAGTGGAAATCTACTTTTTATACCTATTACCAAAAAAATTACTGGTTGCACTATGGAGGGTCTCTGCTTGTGTCTTACTATGACCCTGGGAGGAGCTGGCTGCTAAACTGGTGGACGCTGGAGGAGGAAGATATCTTCTAGAGAGTGATCCATACTGATAGGATGGTGTGATCCTGAAAGCGTGCTGGCCCCTTGGGGTCTAAGGAAGGAGGTGAGGGGGGGCATTTTGGCCGTTAAGGATGGTCACGTGTGAATCACATACACTGCACATAATTCTGCATGAAGAGTGGAGTGTGAAGTTCATCATTAAGCACAGCATCATCAGTATTATTATTATTAACTTTGGACTTTTCTCGTATTTGTACGATCGTTTATTCCTTTGTGCACTTTGTGTGGCACTGTTTATTATTAGTATATATGTTATTATAGTATATATTACTTTATTTTCACGTTTTTGCACGAGATATTCCCCATGAGGGAATACATGCATGACACTGTATATGTATTGAGTATCTTGGATTTATTTTGGGGATTGAGTATATATTGTATTACGGTTCTATTAGATACGAATAAGCGCTGCACTCATAATTTTTGCACTGCACAGGTACCCTGTCTTCCTATAGGCACAGGGTCTGATCTTGCATTTGATTGCATTGGCCTGAAGACACCCTGGGGCTGATCTGGGGTCTAAGATGCATGTATTAGGGCTGGTCTAAGGTCTGCAGGTACAGGGCTTGGGGTTAATTCAAATTCAGGGGCCGAGCCGAGGTCCCCAGTGAGCATGCCGGGGGACAGAGCCAAGGTCCCCAGTGCGTGCGCCGGGGGGGGGGCGACGCGAAGGTTCCAGTTGAGCGAGCCAAGGTCTCCAGTGCATGTGCTGGGGCAGATCTAAGGGTCTCAAGTGCACACGCCAGGGCAGACTTAAGGTCTCAAGTGCTGGCCTGCTGGGGCAAGTCTAAGGGTCTCAAGTGCACGTGCCGGGGCTGACACAAGGTCTCAAGTGCATGCGCGGGGGCAGATATAAGGGTCTCAAGTGCATGCGCGGGGGCAGATATAAGGGTCTCAAGTGCATGCGCTGGGGCAGATATAAGGGTCTCAAGTGCATGCGCTGGGGCAGATATAAGGGTCTCAAGTGCATGCGCCGGGGCAGATATAAGGGTCTCAAGTGCATGCGCCGGGGCAGATATAAGGGTCTCAAGTGCATGCGCCGGGGCAGATATAAGGGTCTCAAGTGCATGCGCCGGGGCAGATATAAGGGTCTCAAGTGCATGCGCCGGGGCAGATATAAGGGTCTCAAGTGCATGCGCCGGGGCAGATATAAGGGTCTCAAGTGCATGCGCCGGGGCAGATATAAGGGTCTCAAGTGCATGCGCCGGGGCAGATATAAGGGTCTCAAGTGCATGCGCCCGGGGCAGATATAAGGGTCTCAAGTGCATGCACCGGGGCAGATATAAGGGTCTCAAGTGCATGCGCCGGGGCAGATATAAGGGTCTCAAGTGCATGCGCTGGGGCTCATCTGAACTCACAGCTCTACTGCTAGTAGCCAATCACACTAATTATATAACAATCAGTTTTTAGCTTGTCATTGTACAGATATACTGTAAGTGCAAAAATTTTAAAAAAAGGACAAAAATGCAAGATTGATCATTGCTCTATTGCTTGTGAAGATGCCATGTATTGTGCTGCCACTCCGTAGCTCTGCGGCTGTATTCTTCTATAAATTGTAATATAAAAAGAAGAAGTGTCTTTTACAATCTCTTATAATACAGCCGCAGACTCACACTCTCCTGTAACAAGGCGGCTCTCGTGTGACAGCAGTTGGATGGTGAGTGTGTGCCAGGCAACAAGCAATCTACAGAACCAGAGCCATGCCGGCCCCTACGCACAGTCCCTACGCACAGTCCCTGAAGTCTCCATACAAAGGATACAAGCTTGTTATAGTCCTCCAGCAGCTTCTTGGTCTCAGCAGAGATCTCCTCACACTGGTCCTAGAGGAAGAAACAGTCGAAATGAAGGCGGGTCACCGGCAGCGCAACGTCTGCAAGGGTTGCAAATGATTACAGAGCTGTGTGAACCACTGAGCCTACAGTCGCTCACATCCATAGCTGGACATACTGGGGGATATTTACTAAAGCTGCATGGTGCAAAATCCGGTGCAGCTCTACACAGAAACCAATCAGCTTCCAGGTTTCATTGCTACAGCTTAACTGAACAAGCTGAAGTTGGAAGCCGATTGGCTCCCACGCACAGCTGCACCGGATTCTGAGCGCTCCGGTTTTAGTAAATCCATCCCCGTTGGCTACTTCCAGCCCAACTCCGTTTTGAATGGAACCCCTACAACTTACCTCCCCCCCCCTTCACAGGCTAACAGAGTAAAGATCACCACACACATTATAACCTGATTGTACAATCTCCTTTAGATCTGCCACCAACGATGTAGTATGAGGACCTGCCTGACTGGATACTAGTTAGAAAGTCTGCCTTCATATTAAATGGTGTTGGTAAAGCTAAAGAAGATTGTACAATATTGTATAATGTATGGCCAGATTGGCAGAACGTTTCCTTATCAGTACAATGGAAAAAGGTTAGACCCTGCATCGGGTTCTCACGGTCTGTCTTCCTGTCCCATGGAAAACAGTCCCCCTAACTTCTTTTCCTGCTGTCACAGGGACAGGAAGCGCGACAAAAGTAATATTACACCTTTCATGATAAACGTTCATTTCCTCTTATATGATTGTCAGCTCCCAGGATCAGGGCCCTCCTATCCCTCTTGTATTGATCTGTATTGTTGCTGTATTGTCTCCCGTTATATTGTACAGCGCTGAGCAAACTGTTGGCGCCATAAATCCTGTATAATAATAATATATAAATCCTGTATAATAATAATAATAATAATAATATATAAATCCTGTATAATAATAATAATAATAATAATATAAATCCTGTATAATAATAATAATAATAATATATAAATCCTGTATAATAATAATAAAATAATAATAATATATAAATCCTGTATAATAATAATAATAATATAAATCCTGTATAATAATAATATAAATCCTGAATAATAATAATAATAATAATAATAATAATAAAATAATATAAATCCTGAATAATAATAATAATATAAATCCTGTATAATAATAATAATATAAATCCTGTATAATAATAATAATATAAATCCTGTATAATAATAATAATATAAATCCTGTATAATAATAATAATAATATAAATCTTGAATAATAATAATAATAATAATAATAAAATAATATAAATCCTGAATAATAATAATAATAATATAAATCCTGTATAATAATAATATAAATCCTGTATAATAATAATATAAAATCCTGAATAATAATAATAATAATAATAATAAAATAATATAAATCCTGAATAATAATAATATAAATCCTGTATAATAATATAAATTCTGTATAATAATAATATAAATACTGAATAATAATAATATAAATCCTGAATAATAATAATATAAATCCTGTATAATAATAATAATTTTGTAAACTGAATTTTTTTTTTTAACCACTTCCCATCCGGGTAAGTCAATAAACCGCTGTATATAAACGGTTTCCGGACGGTGGCAGTGCAGGGGCGGGTTGCCGTTCATAAACTGCGCCCACCATTTTTGATTGTGCACACTCCTTGGGAGCGTATAGCACCACGATCCGGTGCCCACTGTGTCCTCCGGACACAGTGGAACACCGTCCGGCCTATGTATAAAACGGCCGGATGGGAGCAGTGCAGGGGCGGGCCATTTTAGGCCTGGGAGCGCGCGCAGCACCACGTTCCGGTGCCCGCTGTGACCTCCGCACCGATCGCTGTACGGGACCTCTGTGTGATTGGCCAATCAGTGATCACATGCAGAGTAGTAAGCAAGATGTCACTTCTGACGACATTGCTTACTAAGTGTGAAATCTGTGAATGATCACAGAGATCACATGATACAGGGCTATTCACAACAGCCTTGTACCATGTGACAAGCTGTGACCAATCACAGCTCACTCAGTAGTTCTTAATGGCTTCAAGAATGCAGCCAGAGAGAAGGAGAAATGATTGATTTTACAGCCTTTATGGGTATAAAAGCAATCAGTGTAAAAAGAAAAAAATCTTCATCATCACCCCCCACAAGTAGTACAGTGTCACTACTGTATGGTGACACTGTACTGCTAGGGTGACAGTATGTTTTAAAAAAAAAAAACAAATATGAAAAAAAATTTGATAAAAATGTGATTTTTTTTTTTTTTAAATTATAATTTTTGGTTATAAACTAATTGGGTTATTTTTTTTTACTAAAAAGATAGACGAATACACTTTTTACATACAGTGTAAAAAAAAAAATCATCATCACCCCCCACAAGTAGTACAGTATATTTAAAAAAAAAAAAATTTAATAAAAATGTAAAACATTTTTGAAAAAAAAATTATAAATTTTTGGTTATAAACTAATTTGGGTTATTTTTTTTTACTAAAAAGATAACTCAATACATTTTTGTCCAAGATGATGAAATATTATTTATTTGCAAAATTTTATAAGAAAAACACTTTTTTTTCAAAATTTTTGGAATTTTTCATTTACATAAGAAAAAAAAATAAAAATCCCAGTGGTGAATAAATACCACCAAAATAAAGCTTTTTCTGTCTCAAAAAAAAAATGCTAAAAAATTCAGTGTTGTATGACCGCGCAATTGTCATTTAAGTGCGACAGGGCTGAAAGCTGAAAATTGGCCTGGACTTGAAGTGGTTAAATAGCTGCTAACATTTTCTTTTGCCTTTCAGACATGTGCCCAGCACACTGCCTGCCTACCATAGCGCTTCCCCAGTTATTATGTCAGGACTAAATGTCCCATGAACCTTTGCATGCATGTATTGTACTGCACATGCTTCCTACCATGTCAGCTGGTGGGTGGTGCAGATGTCTTCCTATTGTGCAGCCTTCATGTGTGCACACACAACGGCCTCCTGTCCCTGGTCGGGAGCATGCCACATCCTTTTAGACGTGAATGCTAAAATATTGCAAACTTTAGCTGTGCAATCTGCTGATTAGTTGCTTGATTGTACTCTAATAGAAAGTAATCAAGCAATTGATCAGCAGATTGCACAGCTAAAGTCTGCGGCACTCAGTTCCAAATTCAGGGTGGCTATGATCAATTGTAGGGTCTCTATGGAGCCCTACCCAAAAAATTGGAAGTTAGTTTCAGCAATTCACCTTGTTCCGAAGCTGCATAAATATATATTATATATAAAAAATATAAGACTGGGCCTATATACAGGTGAAAGTCGAAAAATTAGAATATTGTGCAAAAGTTCATTTATTTCAGTGCAGCACTTGAAAGGTGAAACTAATATATGAGACTCATTACATGCAAAGCAAGATAGTTCAAGCCGTGATTTGTCATCATTGTGATGATTATGGCTTACAGCTCATGAAAACCCCAAATCCACAATCTCAGAAAATGAGAATATTGTGAAAAGGTGGAATATTCTCGGCTCAAAGTGTCCCACTCTAATCAGCTCATTCAGCCATAACACCTGCAAAGGGTTCCTGAGCCTTTAAAATGGTCTCTCAGTCTAGTTCAGTAGGAATCACAATCATGGGAAAGACTGCTGACCTGACACCATCACTGACACCCTCCATAAGGAGGGAAAGCCTCAAAAGGTAATTGCAGAAGAAGTTGGATGTTCCCAAAGTGCTGTATCAAAGCACATTAATAGAAAGTTATGTGGAAGGGAAAAGTGTGGAAGAAAAAGGTGCACAAGCAGCAGGGATGACCGCAGCCTGGAGAGGATTGTCAGCAAAAGGCCATTCAAAAGTGTTGGGGACTTTCACAAGGAGTGGACTGAGGCTGGAGTCAGTGCATCAAGAGCCACCACACACAGACGGATCCTGGACATGGGCTTCAAATGTCGTATTCCTCTTGTCAAGCCGCTCCTGAACAACAAACAATGTCAGAAGAGTCTTACCTGGGCTAAAGAAAAACAGACTTGGTCTGCTGCTCAGTGGTCCAAGGTCCTCTTTTCTGATGAGAGCAACTTTTGCATCTCATTTGGAAACCAAGGACCCAGAGTATGGAGGAAGAATGGAGAGGCCCAAGGGCCCCAAGTATGGAGGAAGAATGGAGAGGCCCAAGGACCCCGAGTATGGAGGAAGAATGGAGAGGCCCAAGGACCCCGAGTATGGAGGAAGAATGGAGAGGCCCAAGGACCCCGAGTATGGAGGAAGAATGGAGAGGCCCAAGGACCCCGAGTATGGAGGAAGAATGGAGAGGCCCAAGGACCCCGAGTATGGAGGAAGAATGGAGAGGCCCAAGGACCCCGAGTATGGAGGAAGAATGGAGAGGCCCAAGGACCCAGAGTATGGAGGTAGAATGGAGAGGCCCAAGGACCCCGAGTATGGAGGAAGAATGGAGAGGCCCAAGGACCACGAGTATGGAGGAAGAATGGAGAGGCACAAGGACCCCGAGTATGGAGGAAGAATGGAGAGGCCCAAGGACCCCGAGTATGGAGGAAGAATGGAGAGGCCCAAGGACCCCGAGTATGGAGGAAGAATGGAGAGGCCCAAGGACCCCGAGTATGGAGGAAGAATGGAGAGGCCCAAGGACCCAGAGTATGGAGGAAGAATGGAGAGGCCCAAGGACCCCGAGTATGGAGGAAGAATGGAGAGGCCCAAGGACCCCGAGTATGGAGGAAGAATGGAGAGGCCCAAGGACCCCGAGTATGGAAGAAGAATGGAGAGGCCCAAGGACCCCGAGTATGGAGGAAGAATGGAGAGGCACAAGGACCCCGAGTATGGAAGAAGAATGGAGAGGCCCAAGGACCCCGAGTATGGAGGAAGAATGGAGAGGCCCAAGGACCCCGAGTATGGAGGAAGAATGGAGAGGCACAAGGACCCCGAGTATGGAGGAAGAATGGAGAGGCCCAAGGACCCCGAGTATGGAGGAAGAATGGAGAGGCACACACTGCAAGATGCTTGAAGTCCAGTGTAAAGTTTCCACAGTCTGTGTTGATTTGGGGAGCCATGTCATCTGCTGGTGTTGGCCCACTGTGCTTCATTAAGTCCAGGGTCAGAGCAGCCGTCTACCAGGAGATTTTGGAGCACTTCATGCTTCCTTCCGCAGACTAGCTTTAGGGGGATGTTGACTTCATTTTCCAGCAGGACTTGGCTCCGCCCACACTGCCAAAAGCACCAAAACCTGGTTCAATGACTGTGGGATTACTGTGCTTGATTGGCCAGCAAACTCGCCTGACCTGAACCCCATAGAGAATCTATGGGGCATTGCCAAGAGAAAGATGAAAGACATGAGACCGAACAATGCAGAAGAGCTGAAGGCCGCTATTGAAGCATCCTGGTCTTCCATAACACCTCAGCAGTGCCACAGGCTGATAGCTTCCATGCCACTCCGCATTGAGGCAGTAATTGCTGCAAAAGGGGCCCAAACCAAGTACTGAGTACATATGCAGCTTCTACTTTTCAGAGGTCCAATATTGTTCTATGTACAATCCTTGTTTTATTGATTGCATGGAATATTCTCATTTTCTGAGATTGTGGATTTGGGGTTTTCATGAGCTGGAAGCCATAATCATCACAATGATGACAAATCACGGCTTGAACTATCTTGCTTTGCATGGAATGAGTCTCATATATTAGTTTCACCTTTTAAGTTGCTGCACTGAAATAAATGAATGAATGCACCATATTCTCATTTTTCGAGTTTCACCTGTAAGTATGTGTCGCAACAAGAATATATTTGCAGTCTCTGGTGGGTTAATATCACTCAAAATCTCTCCTACGGGGTCATCTTCTCCCCCCCAAACATAAATCCCCCTACTAGCAGAAATCCTCCCCCCTCAAATCCCTCTTAACACAAAAACACAAATCCCTCCTCCCCAAAACAAAATTCCCTTCCTAGCACAAAGACCCCCATATACCCCCACAAGCACAAATCCTCCCCCAGCGCATATCCCCCTATTTATCCATACTAGCACACATCCTCCTCCCTCAAATCGCCCTTCCTAGCACAAATTCTCCCCCCCCCAAAAAAAAAAAAAAAATTAAAATGTCCCTTCTCAGCACAAGGGACTCCTCAGGACAAACACCCTCCCCCCCTCAAATCCCACCTCCTATCACAAATCCTCTACCACCCCCCCCCCCCCTAATTTCCACATGAGCATAAAATCTTTCCCTCAGCACAAGTCTCCCCTCCTAGCACAAATCCTCCCCCTCAATTCCCCCTTCCTAACTCAAATCCCCCCCCCCCCCCCAAAAAAATAATAAAAATTTAATAAAATAAAATCCCTCACCAGCACAAATCCCCTCCCTGCACAGATGTCCCCCCAAAAAACACCACCCTCCCCCCCTTAAATCACTCCCCTACATAAATCCCTCCCCCCTCCAAATCCATCACTAATCCTCCCACCCAAGCACACTCTAATCTCCAGCTTCTTACTTTGCCCCCCCCCCCCCCCCATTGTCCCCAGTGCAATTTCATCCATGAAACACACAGATTTGAGATGCAGTGGTAGTAGCTGTGTGAATTCCCATCCCCCCCCCCCCAGGCTCCCCCTCATCTGGGTACATTAGAATTTAGGAGGAGCCTAGGGCAAGTGGATTTAACACTTCCGCCAGGCAGCCGGTGGGGGAGAGATCCCGGCTCCTACATGGGATCACGGCTGGGGACACCTGACTGTCAAATTGGGACTTTACAGGTTTGCAAACCCAGCACCGTCCCCATCTGACAGTCCTGATGCAGAAGAGATCAGCAGCAGCAGGACTCCAGAAGAAGAGCTGGCGGGGACAGAGAGCGTCTCCTCGCGGTTCTCTTCTGCTCTCCGGATTCGGCTTGTGACATTCAGCGCTGACAGGAGTAGCTATGCTGCGGTTGCTACTCCTGTCAGGTTGCAGCGGCAGGAACTTTCTAGGGTGCCCCCTAACCTCACATGACACCAGTACCAGGAGTAGCCCCCCCATTGTCCTGTACCAGGAGTAGCCCCCCCCATTGTCCTGTACCAGGAGTAGCCCCCCCATTGTCCTGTACCAGGAGTAGCCCCCCCATTGTTCTGGCCCTGCATGTGTAGTCAGTAATGCTCCCATACTGTATTATCCGTACATCAATCACAGACATGACAGACCTGTTGCTGGATGTGGATCTGGGACAGGGTCTGTAACCTGGAGACCTGAGCTGGAACCGCTGGGGGGAGAAACACAAGAAAATAGAACGGATTTACAAATCTTACTATGTAATGTATGCATATGAAATATTCCCTTTTAACCCCTCCCCCCCAGCTTTCCAACCAACAAAGTACTTTTGCTTTCATGATACGCCTCTTTTGCATCCCTGTGCTGTCATCATTAACCACTTCCCGACCGGCTGTTGCATATAAACGGCCGGACGGTGGCAGTGCAGGGTCGGGTGCCCGTTTATGAACGACCTCCCCTCACCCTGCTTGTGCGTGCTCCCTGAGAGCGGGCAGCACCGTGCCCGCTGTGTCCACCGGACACAGTGAAACACCGATCGGACGGGACCTCTGTACGAGGTCCCGATCATGTGATCACTGATTGGCCAATCAGTGATCACATGCAAAGTAGTAAGGAAGATGTCACTTGTGACATCATTGCTTACTACGTGTGAAATCTGTGAATGATCACAGAGGTCACATGGTACAAGGCCATTCACAACAGCCTTGTACCATGTGACAAGCTGTGACCAATCACAGCTCACTCAGTACTTCTCAATGAGTGCAGGAATGCAGACAGAGAGAAAGAGAAATGATTGCTTTTACATCCTATATGGGTGTAAAAGCAATCAGTGTAAAAAAAAAAAAAAAAAATCTTCATCACCCCCCACAAGTAGTACAGTGTCACCATGGTGACACTGTACTGCTAGGGTGACAGTATGTAAAAAAAAAAATAATAATATAAAAAAATAAAATAAAAATGTAAAAAAAAAATGTTTAAAAATTATAATTTTTGGTTATAAACTAATTTTTATTTTTTTTTTAGTAAAAAGATAACGGAATAAATTTTGGCAAAGATTTATGATGAAATATTATTTATTTGCAAAATTTTATTAAAAAAACACTTTTGTTCAAAATTTTTGGACTTTTTCATTTACATAGCAAAAAAAAATAAAAATCCCAGCGGTGAATAAATACCACCAAAATAAAGCTTTATCTGTCTCAAAAAAAATGGTCAAAAATTAATTTGGGTACAGTGTTGCATGACCGCGCAATTGTCATTCAAAGTGTGATAGCGCTGAAAGCTGAAAATTGCCCTGGTCAGGAAGGGGGTGAAAGTGTCCGGTCTGGAAGTGGTTAAGGAATTTCTGCGGGTCGATTCTCGGTAGTGATTGGGCTAGAAATGTCACTGCGCGCCGCCCCTAGCGTCATATTAACCCCTTCCCGCCAACGTCACACAAATATGCGGCCTCATAGAACTGGGATTTTTTTCAGTGGGGCCGCATATTTGCTTACCCATATTCAAAACCTTTTTCTTATCCTTAACTTAAAATATTAAATCAAACCATAACATAAAATATAAATAAAAGTCCCAAAGAAATAAATAAATTTCCAAGTCCAAAAAAATCTCTCAATCCGGTGTGTCCAACTTCAATATTTCCATCATTCCGGAACCCAGTGAATACCTCGAAAAAATGAAACTAAAATAGTGTATTACCTTCAAAATAAATAAGTATATACTATATTCTGTGCAAAATAAAATAGATTCAACTGTAACACGTGAATCGTGCAAAATCACTCTGTGTACACTATAAACTAATAAATACTGACAAATTGTGTACACTCAAAACAAAAAAATAAAATAAATAAAAGACAATATAAAATTTAATTATATAAAACATTTTTTTAAATAAACAAACTAAATCAATTTTAAGCAACAAAAAAAAAAAAAATATATAAAATTAAAATAATATAAAAAATAAAAGTGAACACTCCGTGACCACCTCTATATGGCAAGAATGCATACATCTGCCCTCATGGAGTAATATCAAGCCTTAAGGGATATTCAGATGTTTAGCAGTCACTTACAGGCTCTCAATAGCTGTATGCAGGGTAAACCTTTAACCTCCCTAGCGGTCTGATGATGTCCATATTTCTGTGCTCAAAGCGGTACATTTTTTTGCATGGAAATATGTATATTTTTTATTGTCGGCCTGTAATTTTTAGGAATAACTCACTGAAATCTGTCCGAACAAGAGTCCAGTAAACATCCCGGGGAGGATAAAACTTGAAACACGAAATCATAAATTATAATAATCATAAAAAATAATATAATAATAAATATAATTCAATAATATAATCAAACCAAAAACACTGAAATGTGAAATATAGCGCCAAGTTCTCACATCGCTGAGCTCAGTCGCAGAATCGTTTTCAGTGTCTGATGAGGAATTTCCCCCACCAATCATTATCACTCAATTCTGCAAGTGGTTCTGATTTACTATCGCTGTTCTCTAGCCGGTCTAAAACCGCGTCTGACCTAAAGGGACGCTTTTTGGACGCCATGGACGTTTCTCAGTTTCCAGGCAGAAAGAACAGTAAAAATGCAGGCAGGGCGCCGGACAAAGCACTCGGGACAAAATGTATGTGAAATGGTTTGATACAGGAATGTTATACTATGTGATTTTAGTGGATTTAGTGAATGTCACTTTTTCACATTTTAAAATTTCCCGCCAGTTCCGTCCCCCGTACGTCCCGACGTCGCAGGGAACGGAACCCAGGTGACAGATTAGTCTGGTCTGAACGGTCAGGACATAGCGGGATGGCTGGGGGCTGTCCGCAGGGGGTCGCACCTTACCTTTGATGTGTTCGCTGTCCAGGAGTGGCTGCAAGGAATGGAGCTGCTCCAGCAGGGCGGCCTGGGACAGAATATACGGCTCCTCTGAATGGGGAAAAAAAAAAAGAAATGCAGCGTCACACCCCGAGCAGCACGGCTTCCTTACATTACCCCATCCATCTACTACTGGTGACAGAAGAGCTGCGGGACACGCAGCAGTTTACGGATCAGAAATGTAGAATAAATCATAAATTCCGTCAGCAGTCATCCTGATCCCCATCCCCAGCACTCACACAGGCAAAGTGACGCACCCGCACGTCGCTGCCTGCCTCGGGGTTTAGGGCGCGCATGTGCGCCCCCCACCCACCGGCACCCGCTGTGACTGTACACAGCGGGAGCCTGTCAGCAAGTCCCAGCCAAGGATTTACGGCCGGGATCTGCTATATCCAATCACAGCCCAGAGCTCTGCGTTGTTAGGCACACATTTAACTGCTCGATCGCCCTAGATGTTAACCCCTTCCCAGCCAGTGCCATTAGTACAATGACCAAGCATAGTATTATACAGTCATGGCCGAAATTGTTGGCACCCTTGATATTTTTCCTGAAAATCAAGTATTTCACACAAAAAAGGTATTGCATTAACACATGTTTTGCTATACACATGTTTATTCCCTTTGTATGTATTGGAACAAATATAAAACAGAGGCAGAAAAGCAAATATGACATAATGTCACACAAAACCCCAAAAATGGGCTGGACAAAAGTATTGGCACCCTTAACTTAATATTTGGTTGCACACCCTTTGGAAAACATAACTGAAATCAGTCGCTTCCTATAACCATCAATAAGCTTCTGACACCTCTCACCCGGAATTTTGGACCACTCTTCCTTTGCAAACAGCTCCAGGTCTCTCTTATTGGAAGGACACCTTTTCCCAACAGCAATTTTAAGATCTCTCCACAGGTGTTCAATGGGATTTAGATCTGGGCTCATTGCTGGCCACTTCAGAACTCTCCAGCGCTTCTTTGCCATCCATTTCTGAGTGCTTTTTGACGTATGTTTGGGGTCATTGTCCTGCTGGAAGACCCAGGATCTTGGACGCAAACCCAGCTTTCTGACACTGGGCCCTACAGTGCGACCCAAAATCCTTTGGTAATCCTCAGATTTCATGATGCCTTGCACACAGTCAAGGCACCCAGTGCCAGAGGCAGCAAAACAACCCCAAAACATCATTGAACCTCCACCATATTTTACCGTAGGTACTGTGTTTTGTTCTTTGTAGGCCTCATTCCGTTTTCGGTAAACAGTAGAATGATGTGCTTTACCGAAAAGCTCTATCTTGGTCTCATCTGTCCACAAGACGTTTTCCCAGAAGGCTTTTGGCTTACTCAAGTACATTTTGGCAAACTGTAGTCTTGCTTTTTTATGTCTCTGTGTCAGCAGTGGGGTCCTCCTGGGTCTCCTGCCATAGCGTTTCATTTCATTTAAATGTCGACGGATAGTTCGCGCTGACACTGATGCTCCCCTGAGCCTGCAGGACAGCTTGAATGTCTTTGGAACATGTTTGGGGCTGCTTATCCACCATCCGGACTATTCTGCGTTGCAATCTTTCATCAATTTCCTCATCCGTCCACGACCAGGGAGATTAGCTACAGTGCCATGGGTTGCAAACTTCTTGATAATGTTGCGCACTGTGGACAAAGGCAAATCTAGTTCTCTGGAGATGGACTTGTAACCTTGAGATTGTTGATATTTTGCCACAATTTTGGTTCTCAGGTCCTCAGACAGTTCTCGTCTCCTCTTTCTGTTGTCCATGCTTAGTGTGGCACAGACAGACACACAATGCAAAGGTTAAGTGAACGTCTCTCCTTTTTATCTGCTTTCAGGTGTGATTTCTATATTGCCCACACCTGTTACTTGCCCCAGGTGAGTTTACAGGAGCATCACATGCTTGTAACATTCTTATTTATCCGCAGTTGTGAAAGGGTGCCAATACTTTTGTCCAGCCCATTTTTGGAGGTTTGTGTGACATTATGTCGAATTTGCTTTCTTTCCTCCCTTTTTTTGTTTTGTCCCAATACACACAAAGGGAATAAACATGTGTATAGCAAAACATGTGTTAATGCAATACGTTTCGTGAGAAATACATGATTTTCAGGAGAAATATCAAGGGTGCCAACAATTTCGGCCATGACTGTATCTGTATTGGTGTCACTGGAGATGCCATCACTGATCACCGTATTGGTGTCACTGGAGATGCCATCACTGATCACCGTATTGGTGTCACTGGAGATGCCATCACTGATCACCGTATTGGTGTCACTGGAGATGCCATCACTGATCACCGTACTGGTGTCACTGGAGATGCCATCACTGATCACCGTACTGGTGTCACTGGAGATGCCATCACTGATCACCGTACTGGTGTCACTGGAGAGGTCATCACTGATCACCGTACTGGTGTCACTGGAGAGGTCATCACTGATCACCGTACTGGTGTCACTGGAGAGGTCATCACTGATCACCGTACTGGTGTCACTGGAGAGATCATCACTGATCACCGTATTGGTGTCACTGGAGAAGTCATCACTGATCACCGTACTGGTGTCACTGGAGAGGTCATCACTGATCACCGTACTGGTGTCACTGGAGAGGTCATCACTGAGCACCGTACTGGTGTCACTGGAGAGGTCATCACTGATCACCGTACTGGTGTCACTGGAGAGGTCATCACTGATCACCGTACTGGTGTCACTGGAGAGGTCATCACTGATCACCGTACTGGTGTCACTGGAGAGGTCATCACTGATCACCGTATTGGTGTCACTGGAGATGTCATCACTGTATTGGTGTCACTGGAGATGTCATCACTGTATTGGTGTCACTGGAGATGTCATCACTGTATTGGTGTCACTGGAGATGTCATCACTGTATTGGTGTCACTAGAGATGTCATCACTGTATTGGTGTCACTAGAGATGTCATCACTGTAATTGGTGTCACTAGAGATGTCATCACTGTATTGGTGTCACTAGAGATGTCAGTGGCAATTAGTCAGCTTCCCCCCCCAATGGTCAGTTAGTGTCAGATCTCAATCTCATTATAGGTTGCTGATCCCCGCAATTACTAGTATACATATTATAAAAAAAAATCCAGTATATATCCCATAGTTTTGTAGACTCTAAAACGTTCGAACAAACCAATCAATATACACTTATTGGGATTTTTTTTTTTTACCAAAGCCATTTTGGCCGTAATTTATGAAAAAAGGAGTGGGGTTTTTTTTGGATACATTTCATAGCAGAAGGTAAAAAATAGTGTGGTTTTTTTTTTTCAAAAATGTCGGTCTTTTTTGTTTATATAATAATAACAACATAAAAAACCCCACACAGTGGTAATCAAATACCAGGAAAAGAAAGCTCTATTTGTGTGAAAAAAGTTTTTATATACTTCCTTTGGGTTCAGCGTTGCATGGCCGTGCAATTACCAGTTAACCCCGTCACGCCGGCGTCTCCCGGCCCTTTAAGAGTTTCAGAAGCCGGGAGGCGGGGCAGGATTTAGGGTCATGTGACCACCGTGATGCCCCGTCACATGATCGGGAAAGGTCCGGATTGAAGGAGGAGATCGAGACCTTTCCGTGAGTACCGGACGTGTGTGCTTGGGGCGGGCAGGGTGCGCGCTCTCGGCACATATGTCCTTTTTTAATAGAGAGCAAATGTGTGGCCACTCGGCGTCTAGGCCCAGACCCCAGGAGGCCGCACGTTTGCGTTCGGCCGGCGTGAAGAGGTTAAAGTAGCGCAGTGGCGAACAGCAAAAAATGTCCTGGTCATGAAGAGAGGTAAAACCTCCCCGAAGAGGATAAGGGCTGCAAATTGATTGGACAGATCCAGTGGCTCTTCATATTACACAGTTCTGGTAAATCTAATGTGGATTGTACGCAGGGGAGGAGAGACAACTCATGGGGCCCCTGGGCAATAGGGGATCATGGGGCCCCCGGGCAATAGGGGATCATGGGTCCCCTGTGTCCTCACCCACACCCAAAAGAGCCTATGAAAGGTATCAGGGGCATCTCATGGGGCCCCCTACTGACCCCGGGCCCTTGGGCAGTGCCCGAGTTCCCAAATGGTGAGTCCGCCCCTGATTGTACGGTCAGATTGTACCGTGTACGGTGAGCCTACCGCTGAGGGAGGAGACTCACCCGCCAGGATGTATTCCAGTTTCATGGAGTCGGGAACGGCCACTCGATCGATGTAGTGAGGATCCAAATATTTGATCAGATCGTCAACTGAAAACACACAAAAGGAGAGAAATGGATAACCAATGAAACAAGATCATCATACACAGGAAATCCAACTCACCATACATGATACAATCTCTAAACAACCTTAGATCGACCAATATATGAGAACCTACCTCATCTATCATGTCAGTCTGTATCCAATCAGGCAGTCCCTGGCACTACAGACTTGTTGGAAGATCAAAAAGAAACTTCACAGATTGTATAATGTATGGTGGTGTCCGAAGGATCACATTACAACCAACTTTACCAAAATTATATGAGGACCTACCCAAACTGTGCAATCAGGGGCTCCCGGGCAATAGGGGATCATGGGGCCCCTGTGTCCTTGCCCAAACTCAAAAAAAGCCTATGAAAAAGGTACCAGGGGCATCTCATGGGGCCCCCTACTGACCCCGGGCCCTCAGGCAGTGCCCAAGTTTCCAAATGGTCAGTCCGCCCCTGCTCATGCAATACGGTTTAGGAAAACGCACTGCGTTTGCGATCTGCTTTTAGGGTGTTGGCAACGATTAATTGAAACCCGCAGCAGATCACAGAACACAGTGTGCCTGCAATACAGGAAACGCACAGGATCTACTGCATGTCCTGCACTGCATCAATGTGAACAGGAGCAGAGAGATACAAAGTAACATTGTTTATAAACATCGATCAGACGGGAGATAGAGAGATACAAAGTAACATTGTTTATAAACATCGATCAGACGGGAGATAGAGAGATACAAAGTAACATTGTTTATAAACATCGATCAGACGGGAGATATAGAGATACAAAGTAACATTGTTTATAAACATCGATCAGACGGGAGATAGAGGGATACAAAGTAACATTGTTTATAAAACATCGATCAGACGGGAGATGGAGAGATACAAAGTAACATTGTTTATAAACATCGATCAGACGGGAGATGGAGAGATACAAAGTAACATTGTTTATAAACATCGATCAGACGGGAGATGGAGAGATACAAAGTAACATTGTTTATAAACATCGATCAGACGGGGGATAGAGAGATACAAAGTAACATTGTTTATAAACATCGATCAGACGGGAGATAGAGAGATACAAAGTAACATTGTTTATAAACATCGATCAGATGGGAGATGGAGGGTTACAAAGTAACATTGTTTATAAACATCGATCAGACGGGAGATAGAGATACAAAGTAACATTGTTTATAAACATCGATCAGACGGGAGATAGAGAGATACAAAGTAACATTGTTTATAAACATCGATCAGACGGGAGATATAGAGATACAAAGTAACATTGTTTATAAACATCGATCAGACGGGAGATAGAGGGATACAAAGTAACATTGTTTATAAACATCGATCAGACGGGAGATGGAGAGATACAAAGTAACATTGTTTATAAACATCGATCAGACGGGAGATGGAGAGATACAAAGTAACATTGTTTATAAACATCGATCAGACGGGAGATGGAGAGATACAAAGTAACATTGTTTATAAACATCGATCAGACGGGGGATAGAGAGATACAAAGTAACATTGTTTATAAACATCGATCAGACGGGAGATAGAGAGATACAAAGTAACATTGTTTATAAACATCGATCAGATGGGAGATGGAGGGTTACAAAGTAACATTGTTTATAAACATCGATCAGACGGGAGATAGAGATACAAAGTAACATTGTTTATAAACATCGATCAGACGGGAGAGATAGAGAGATACAAAGTAACATTGTTTATAAACATCGATCAGACGGGAGATAGAGAGATACAAAGTAACATTGTTTATAAACATCGATCAGACGGGAGATAGAGAGATACAAAGTAACATTGTTTATAAACATCGATCAGATGGGAGATAGAGAGATTTGGGTTTTGGTTCCCACTGCCAGGACGATGTGTATAGGATTTATATTATAGCTCCCAGGTGTGGCCACTCCTCTCCCAACAGCCAATCCAAAAAAAGGAAAATTAAATGTTTTGCCTCTATGGAGAAGCTGCATGTGATTGGCTGACACAAGGCAGTCAAGGGAAATGGGCACAGGCACAATGCAGAATGCAGCAGGAGGAGTGAGACCACCCGGAAGTGGGCGGAGCAGGGATCTGGCAGTGATTGGTGGGGACACTCACTCTTCTTGTACAGGGTCTTCACACGCTCCCTCTTCCCGGCGAGGTTCCCCAGAGACACCTGGACCTTCAACAACCCGTCCGCAACCTGCAGGATGAGGAGAGAGGAGATCAGAGGAGGACACCACACATGATTTCCGGGAAGGGGGGGGGGGTCGGGATCATCATAGAACACAGAGGCCTTGCTTGGGATTAAAGGGGGCATAGACCAGAGGGGGCTATAATTATGGGGGGGGGGGTAATGGAATCATGGGAGGGAGGGGAATCATAATGTGGAGAGGACCCGGTGAAGGGGGGATTGGGATCACAGGAGGGGGACATCTTAGAATACTGGGACCAAGCATGAGAAGGGGGAAGGACATAGTAGGGAGCGGATCATGGTGAGGGGGGGATCATAGTAGGAGGGGGGACCATATTGGTGGGTGTTGGATTATAGAGGGGGGTGAGACCATGTTGGTGGGGAGGAAGTGGGGGCAAAGAATGGAGGCAACCATGTTGGGGGGGGGCATAGAATGGGGGTAGTATAGAATAAGGCATGGAATTCTATCAGACCATGTTGGTGGGGGGGGGGGCATAGAATGGAGGCAACCATGTTGGGGGGGGCATGGAAAGGGGGGTGATCATGTTTATGAGGGGGGGCATGGAATGGAGGTGACCATGTTGGTGGGGAGGGCATGGAATGGAGGTGACCATGTTGGTGGGGGCGGGGGCATAGTATGGAGGGGACCATGTTGGGGGGGAGGGGCATGTTGGTGGGGGAAGGGCATAGAATGGAGGAGACCATGTTGGTGGGAGGGGCATTGAATGGAATGGAGGGGACCATGTTGGTGGGGGGGGGGGGGGGCATAGAATGGAGGAGACCATGTTGTTGGGGGGTGCATAGAATGGAGGGGGCAATGTTGTTGTGGGGGAATCATGTCCGTGGGTGGGGTAGTTCATAGTATGGAGAAGACCATGTTGGAGGGGAGGGAATGTAAGAGACCATGTTGGTGGGGGGCAAAGAATGGAGAGGACCATGTTAGTGGTGGTGGTGGGGGACATAGTATGGAGGGGCCCATGTTAGTGGTGGTGGTGGGGGACATAGTATGGAGGGGCCCATGTTAGTGGTGGTGGTGGTGGGGGACATAGTATGGAGGGGCCCATGTTAGTGGTGGTGGAGGGGGACATAGTATGGAGGGGCCCATGTTAGTGGTGGTGGTGGGGGACATAGTATGGAGGGGCCCATGTTAGTGGTGGTGGAGGGGGACATAGTATGGAGGGGCCCATGTTGCTAGGGATGGGAGGCATAGTATGGAGGGGATCATTTAGGTGGGGGGGGGGGGGGACATAGTATGGAGGGGGATCATGTTGGTGGGGGACATAGTATGGAGGGGATCATGTTGGTGGGGGACATAGTATGGAGGGGATCATGTTGGTGGGGGGACATAGTATGGAGGGGATCATGGTGGGGGACATAGTATGGAGGGGATCATGTTGGTGGGCAGGTGGGGGGCATAGTATGGGGGGGGGTCAGAGAATGGAGGGGATCATTTTGGTGGGAGGGGGGACTAAGGTTGGAGGGGACCATGTTGGTGGGGAGGGGGGACCATGGGGTAGAGGACGATGGGGGGAGACCCCTGGGGGCGGGGGGTTTGTCATGGTGACATGCTGAGGAAGGACAGGGCGGCGGGTGGCATTGCACACATCACCTTCCTGGCCGGCACTCCGCTCTCCCCGTACAGCCGCCTCTCCACCTCCTCCAGCCGGCACTGCAACTCCCGGAGCTCCGCCATCACAGCCAGCCGCACCGATATCGCATCATCACCCGGCGACCCCCGCCCTGCGTTCCACCGACCGGACGTGACGACACCGGGGGAGAGGACATGCCCGTGACAGCGCTGACAACACTGGCTCCTCCCTCTGTACTCAGCTCTATAGGCTGCAAGGGCTGGAGCCTGTATATGGGCGGAGCCTGAGAGGAACACACCCCCCCCGACAGCCCTGATCACTGTGCGTGTCCCCCGGCTGCAGGACATTCCTCTCACTTCCGGCACAGGTGACACCCCGAAAAATCTATCCTTCTGTTCTGTACAGAGAGTAACACGGGGAGCCAGTCTCATGTTGTCAGCTTCGGTAGAAGTAGTGGAAGGTTAACACATGTCAGCATTTTTTAATGTTTTGCCTTCTGTGTCCCATCATTGAGATTTCCTTCACCTCCTGCACTAAAGACGAAGAAATCTCTCCAAAGTGAGGGAATCCCCCCTTAGCTTCCATCGGGGGGGGGGTGTCCCCGAGGGAAGATTCTCCGCCTGTTCCTGCTCTGGTGACAACCGAACATCCAGTGAGGACACAGCACTGAAAACCTGGCGGTGGTGTCATCCCTCATCCGGCTCTTCCTACAAAATCTCATTGTTATCGGGGTCTTCCCGGAGATCTGCCCCGGGTTACCGATACCCCCCCCCCCCCCCCCCCACCACGTCCGTCCTCCTCTCACTGCACATGTGCAGAACACAGAACATAATAACTCCTCTTGTATCATTCCGGATCCCTTTGTTAAGTTACTAATTTTATTTCTTCAAATTCATAATGAAATTCGTTTCAGAAGACGGTACTATTCATTCTATTCTATTCCTTTATTTTCTCATCTGTTGTATTCTATTCTTTTCAAAATTCGAGGTTTTTTGGAAGATGGCTATATTCTGATACACTCAGCCTTTGGAGGAAATCAGCGATACGTTTACAATTTGTTGTATATTTCAAATTCGTTTAGAATTATTCTTATATGTTTATTAATTATTTGAGTAATTAATTAATTAATGTTATTATTATTATTATTATTATATGTGTATTTTTTTTTCATTATTGTTATTTTATTATATTTATTTATATACAGTATTTATATTTTTTAATAAATTTATTAGCATTTTTTATTATTATTATTATTATTAGTATAAATATATGTATATTTTTTTCATTATTTTTATTTTTATTATATTTTATTAATATTTTTATTATTTATATATTATTAATTATTATTATATATATATTATATTTTTTTCATTAGTTTTATTTTGTTTTATTTATATATTTATATAGTTTATATTTTTTATTATTATTATTATTATTATTATATATATATGTACCATTCTAGATCCATTTGTTAAGTTACTCATTTTATTTCCTCAAATTCGTAATGAAATTCGTTTCTTTTTGTGTTCGACCGGATTGAGATTTTTCCAACTGGTTCGACGTATTCCAATCGAATTCAAATTCGAAATATCGAATCGACCCAAATCCATAGTGAAGAATAGCTGGTTCTGTCCTATTTCAAATTCCAATTTCAGGAGACGGTACTATTCATTCTATTCTATTCCTTTATCTTCTCATCTGTTGTATTCTATTCTTTTCAAAATTCGAAGTTTTTTGGAATATGGCTATATTCTAATACAGACAGTTTTTTTTAGGAAATCAGCGATATGTTTACAATTTGTTGTATTTTTCAAATTTGTTTACAATTATTCTTATATGTTTAATAATTATTTAAGTAATTAATTATTGTTATTATTATTAATATTATTATTATTATATATGTATTTTTTTTTCATTATTTATATTTTATTATATTTTATTTATATATTTATATTTTTATGAATTTATTATCTTTTATTATATTATTATTATTATTAGTATAATATATGTATTTTTTTCATTATTTTTTATTTTATTATATTTTATTTATATTTGTATTATTTATTACTTATATATTTTTAATTATTATTATTATATATGTTTTTTTTTTTTCATTAGTTTTATTTGGTTATATTTCATTTATATATTTATATAGATTATATTTATTATTATTATTATTATTTATTATTATAAATATATGTATCATTCTGGATCCATTTGTTAAGTTACTCATTTTGTTTCCTCGATTTCATAATGAAATTCATTTAGTTTTGTGTTCGACCGGATTGAGATTTTTCCAACGGGTTCAAAGTATTCAAATCGAATTCAAATCCAAAATATCGAATCGACCCAAATTTATAGCGAAGAATAGCTGGTTCTGTTCTATTCCAAATTCACATTTCAGAAAACGATACTATTTGTTCTATTCTGTTCTTTTATTATCTAATTTGTTGTATTCTATTCTTTTCAAAATTCAAAGTATTTTGGGAAGATGGCTATATTCTAATACACACAGCCTTTGAAGGAAATCAGCGATATGTTTAAAATTTGTTGTATTTTTCAAATTCGTTTATAATTATTCTTAAATATTTATTAATTATTTAAGTAATTAATTAATTATTATATATGTATTTTTTTCATTATTTTTATTTTATCATATTTTATTTATATTTTTATTTATTATTTATATATTATTATCTATTATTATATATGTAATATTTTTTAATTCGTTTTATTTTGTTATATTTTATTTATATATTTTTATTATTTATTCAATATTATCTTATTATTATTCTTCTCAATAATATTATTATTACATTTATCATCAATATTATCACTCCTATTATTATCATTGTCGTTATTTTTATTTTCATTGTTATTTAATATTCTCATAATTATAATTTTTATTATTATTATAGTTAACATCAATAATATATTACTATTATTTTATTATATTTTAGCATGAATATTATCTTATTATCATTATTATTGTTATTATCATTATTATTATTACATTTATCAATATTATCACTCCTAATATTATCATTGTTGTTATTTTTATTATTATTTTCATTGTTATGATTATTCTCATACTTATTATTGTTATTATTATTATTATAGTTAGCATCAATATTATATTATTATTGTTATTATTATTATTTTATTATATTTAGCATGAATATTATCTTATTATCATTATTATTGTTATTATCCTTATTATTATTACATTTATCAATATTATCACTCCTAATATTATCATTGTTGTTATTTTTATTATTATTTTCATTGTATTTAATATTTTCATAATTATTATTGTTATTATTATAGTTAGCATCAATATTATATTATTAATATTATTTTATTATATTTAGCATGAATATTATCTTATTATTATTATTGTTATTATCATTATTATTATTACATTTATCAATATTATCACTCCTAATATTATCATTGTTGTTGTTTTTTTATTATTATTTTTCATTGTTATGATTATTCTCATACTTATTATTGTTATTATTATTATTATAGTTAGCATCAATATTATATTATTATTGTTATTATTATTATTTTATTATATTTAGCATGAATATTATCTTATTATCATCATTATTGTTATTATCATTATTATCAACACCAAAATAAGGGCTATTTGTGTTTTTATTTATTTTTATATGTAAAAAAAAAAAATTATTTATTTATTATTTATTTCAGGTACTTCTATAGCTCCATCAATTTACGCCGCACTTTACATATATATTTTACACTCACATCGGTCCCTAACCCTCAAGGGGCGTACAATCTAAGGTTTTTTCTTTTTTATTTTCATTCAATCAATAGAAAAAAAAAACAAGAAACAAAACTAAAAAAAAGAATGCACTTTTTTTTCTAACTTGACTAGTGTTAGTTTTAAAACAATTAGTGATGCTGAAACGACGCGCACATTTTATTCCTTAATTTGTCCCATTCATAATGATTCTGGTATGAATCGTTGCAAATTTTATTGACAAAAGAATTAAAGGCTTTTTTCAATTTTGTGCATTTTTTTTTGTGACACTAAAAAAAAGATGAAATAATTGAAAAAGAAAAGTTTAAAAGAAATATGCAAGGTTAAAAATAGAAATACTTTATCTTCTTTTTTTCTGTGAATAATCTTTATATATATATATATATATATAGTTTACATAGTTACATAGTTAGTCTGGCTGAAAAAAGACAAAAGTCCATCCTGTTCAACCATAGAAAAAAAAGTTATAATCCTACACCCACAGTTGATCCAGAGGAAGGCAAAAAAAAAAAAAACCCAGCAAAGCACGATCCAATTTGCTCCTGCTGGGGAAAAAATTCCTTCCTGATCCCCCGATATTGGTCTGAGATCTGATATTGTGATTGTCTTTTTTTTTTGTACATTACCTTTTTTTTTTAAATGAATAATTGATTATAATAATAAGTAAATATATAATTATAATAAACCTGCAGACATTACCTTACTGATATGATCATTCTGTTCTATTGTGTTCCGCTATGTGTGATGTCATGTGTGCAAGTTTATTTTAGATTTAATAAAAAATTATAATGTACAATAGAAATAAAAAATAGAAACACAAAAACCAACAAGCAAGTAATAAGGGGAGGAATGAGTGAATGTAAAACTTTTTTTTTTTATAGAGTAGGGAATAATTAAAGTATGCCATGGACAACCATGTAACCTACTTTCTGTGCGTTCTAGATGCAGAACAAAAAGCACTGCATGTTCACCAGCCCTAATATAAAAAAGACTGAAATTGTTAAAAAAAAAAACAACATAATTTTTTACTTTGTGCTATAAAACATATTCAATAAAAATTGAACTTTAGATTAAAGACTTTCAATGTAGGCCAAAATATATTTTGCTACATGAATGTCTGTGGCAAAAAAAAAAAAAAAAAATTAATTGGTTTGTGTGAAATTTATAGCATCTACAAACAATGGTACAGATACATTACTGTTTATTTTTTTGTTTATTTTTATTATTATTATTTTATTATTATTATACAGGATTTATATAGCGCCAACAGTTTGCTCAGCGCTGTACAATATAATGGGAGACAATACCAATACAGTACAATACACGAGGGCCCTGCTCTTTGGAGCTTACAATCTAGGAGGGGGGGATGGTGGCACAGGAGGAGATAGCTGTGGGGGATGGAGTGGTAGGAAGAGTGGAGGAGATCGGCAGTTAGCAGGGGGTGGGGTAGGCTTCCCTGAAGAGATGGGTTTTCAGGGTGCGCCTAAAGGAGAGGAGAGTAGGTGATAGTCTGATGGGTTGGGGCAGGGAGTTCCAGAGGATGGGTGACACCCTGGAGAAGTCCTGGAGGCGGGCATGGGAGGAGGAGGAGACCAGGGAACTAGAGAGAAGGAGGTCTTGTGAGGAGCGGAGTGTGCGTGTGCTGGGCGGTACTTGGATATTAGGTCAGTGATGTAGTTCGGGGCAGTATGGTGGACGGCTTTGTACGTCAGTGTTAGGATTTTGAATTTCATCCGTTGCGCAATCGGAAGCCAGTGGAGGGTTTGGCAGAGGGAGGTGGAGGACACTGAGTGGAGGGATTGGCAGAGGGGGGTGGAGGACACTGAGTGGAGGGATTGGCAGAGGGGGGTGGAGGACACTGAGTGGAGGCCAGTGGAGGGATTGGCAGAGAGGGATGGAGGATACTGAGTGGAGGCCAGTGGAGGGATTGGCAGAGGGGGGTGGAGGACACTGAGTGGAGGCCAGTGGAGGGATTGGCAGAGGGGGGTGGAGGGCACTGAGTGGAGGCCAGTGGAGGGATTGGCAGAGGGGGGTGGAGGACACTGAGTGGAGGCCAGTGGAGGGATTGGCAGAGAGGGGTGGTGGAAACGGAGTGGTTGGAAAGGTGAATGAGTCTGGCAGACGTATTCAGGATGGACTGAAGCGGGGATAGCCAGCGGCGAGGCAGGCCAGTGAGGAGGGAGTTGCAGTAGTCGAGTCGTGATATGATGAGGGAGTGGATGAGCTGTTTAGTGGTTTCTGGGGTTAGGAACGTGCGGATTTTGGTGATGTTGTGGAGGTGGAGTCTGCATGTTGCGGAGGTGGAGTCTGCATGTTGTGGAGGTGGAGTCTGCATGTTGCGGAGGTGGAGTCTGCACGAGTTTGTTAAAGATTGGACTTGGGGCTGGAAGGATAGGTTGGAGTCCAGAATGACACCAAGTACTCTGGCCTGAGGGGCGGGTTTGATGGTAGCGTTGTTGGATGTGACGGAGAAAGTCAATGGGGGATGGGGTCCGGGCTGGGGGGAAGACCAGAAACTCGGTTTTGGAGAGGTTCAGTTTAAGGAAGTGGAGTGACATCCAGTCTGATATGTCGCTCAGTAGGTGTGTGATTCGGGCGGAGACCGAGGGGGTGAGGTGGGGGGTTGAGAGATAGATTTGTGTGTCGTTGGCATAGAGATGGTAGTTGAAGCCGTGAGAGTGTATGAGTTGGCCAAGGGAGGAGGTATAGATGGAGAAGAGAAGGGAGGGCCCGAGGACAGAGCCTTGAGGGACCCCAACAGAGAGGGGGAGTAAGGGGGAGGTGGTAGCATTATAGGTAACGCTGAAAGAGCGTTGTGACAGGTAGGATGAGATCCAGGAGAGAGCGGAGTCTGAGGCCGAGGGAGTGTAGTTTTTTTGAGGAGGAGGGGGGGGTGGTCGACTGTGTCGAAGGCCGCAGAGAGGTCAAGGAGTAGGAGCACTGAATAGTGTCCATTAGCTTTGGTAGTTAGAAAGTCGTTGGAGAGTTTGAGTAAGGCGGTTTCAGAGGAGTGTAGGGGACGGAAGCCAGACTGTAGGGGATCGAGGAGGTTGTTGTCATTGAGGTGGGTGATTAGGCGATTGTACACTAAGCGCTCGAGGAGTTTAGATGTAAATGGAAGCAGGGAGATGGGTCTGAGGTTGTTCGGGTCAGTGGGGTCCAGGGTAGGGCTTTTTAAGTATGGGGGTGATTTGTGCGTGCTTTAGATGGGAGGGGAATGTGCCGGAGGAGAGGGAGAGATTATTTACTATACTACTAATGGTGGTGATCAGCGACTTATAATGGGACTGTGATAGTGCGGTGGGCAATCTGACACTAACAGTGATCAGTGATAATACTGTCAATGTACTAATCACACTGGCTGGGAAGGGGTTAAATGCATGCCTAACAATGTGTAACGTGTGTATTATGTGCCGCTTTAACGAACAGATCTCTTGTGCTCCATACACACGATCAGAATATCGTACGGAAAAATTCTGTTTTTAAAGCGTTCGTACAATAATCTGATCATTAGTACACAGCAATCGTCTGGAAAAAAAAATAGAAGGGGACAAGCAGGAAAATCGTTTTATCGTACCGGATCATAGGATTTTTGTTTAACCACTTCCAGTCCGGACACTTTCCCCACCTTCCAGTCCGGACACTTTCACCCCCCCTTCCAGTCCGGACACTTTCCCCCCTTCCAGTCCGGACACTTTCCCCCCCTTCCAGTCCGGACACTTTCCCCCCTTCCAGTCCGGACACTTTCCCCCCCCTTCCAGTCCGGACACTTTCCCCCCTTCCAGTCTGGACACTTTCACCCCCTTCCAGTCCGGACACTTTCACCCCCTTCCAGTCCGGACACTTTCCCCCCCTTCCAGTCCGGACACTTTCACCCCCTTCCTGTGCGGACACTTTCACCCCCTTCCAGTCCGGACACTTTCCCCCCCTTCCTGTCCGGACACTTTCACCCCCTTCCAGTCCGGACACTTTCCCCCCCTTCCAGTCCGGACACTTTCACCCCCTTCCAGTCCGGACACTTTCACCCCCTTCCTGTCCGGATACTTTCACCCCCTTCCAGTCCGGACACTTTCACCCCCTTCCTGTCCGGACACTTTCACCCCCTTCCAGTCCGGACACTTTCACCCCCTTCCAGTCCGGACACTGTCCCCCCTTCCAGTCCGGACACTTGCCCCCCCTTCCAGTCCGGACACTTTCCCCCCCTTCCAGTCCGGACACTTTCCGCCCCTTCCAGTCCGGACACTTTCCGCCCCTTCCAGTCCGGACACTTTCCCCCCCCCATTCCAGTCCGGACACTTTCCCCACCTTCCAGTCCGGACACTTTCCCCCCCTTCCAGTCCGGACGCTTTTTTTTATTATTATTTAGGGGTTTTTTAACATACTGTCACCATAGTGACACTGCACTACTTGTAGGGGGGGATGAACATTTTTTTAAATTTTTTTACACTGATTGCTTTTACATCCATAAAGGCCGTAAAAGCAATAATTTCTCCTTCTCTCTGGCTGCATTCCTGCAGCCATTGAGAAATACTATGAGAGCTGTGATTGGTCACAGCTTGTCACATGGTACAAGGCTGTTGGGAATAGCTCTGTACCATGTGATCTCTGTGATCATTCACAGATTTCACACCCTGTATAAGGAGAGAGAGCACAGCTATGGGAGCGGCCAAGCAGGTCCCCCCCACTACAGGCTGTCTACAGAAAACAACAGGAGGGGGCGGAGATGAGACCAGTCACCCTGCACAAGGAGAGAGAGCAGCAGTGAGTGGTCTTTATTACAGGAAGGAAAAATTTGGATTCCTGCACAGATCTGGAAGAAATACACAAAGCTCACCGAGATTCAAGAAGAAGGCACATGATCATGTTTCCACAAATTCCCCGCTACTCCATTCAGTCTCTAGGGGGCGATGATTATACCCCCGACTTCCATACATAGGGGGATTGCATGACTCCCCGGCTGTGATGGGGTTGGTGCTATGGCACAGTGTTGTCACATGGGGGCAGGGGACCACCAGTCCTGTCCACAGACCTGTCATTCCTCACTTCTGCCGGCTACAATTAGTGACAAGGCAATAAAAAAAAAAAGTATGCACTGCTTGAGCTCTATTTTTTTTTTTTTTTTTTAGAACAAACTAGGCTTTCTTTTGGTGAAATATTGTTGCAAAATTTAATTCATTTATTAATGACAAAAATAATAATAATAATCAGAAGAAGAAAAAACACCTTTTCTACTTTGATCAGTGTTAGTTTTTTTTTTAAGGAGTGTTACTGTAGATAAATTCTGCAAATTTTATTCTAATTTGTCCTGCAGCAAATGACACTAAAATTATAATTATGTTACAAAGCAAAGTTATTTACAAGTGAAATAAAGGGATTTGTGTTTTTTTTTAAACTGCAATATATAAAAAAAAAAAAAAAAAAAACCCAAACAAAACAAATATAAATAAAATAAATAAATATATATTGATAGATAAATATAAATAAAATAATAAAAATAATAATAAAAAAAAAAACAGCAGGAAAATAATAGTTAAGGGAAAAAAACGGAAGAAGTAGTTAATTAGGATTGATTATGGCAAGCAAAGGGTTACTGGGGTTTATTTTTTAAAAAGTTTTTTTTTTTTTACTTAGGTTGCTTTAACCAAAGTATTTCCTCTGCAGATGGAAGCTCCTTTAATCTGTAGATAAATGAAACCGAAGAAATAGGAAACTATCAGTGTATCTCCAGTGTGATCGATGTTTATGAACAATGTTACTTTTTATCTCTCTATCTCGTGTCTGATCGATGTTTATAAACAATGTTACTTTGTATCTCTCTGTCTCCCGTCTGATCGATGTTTATAAACAATGTTACTTTGTATCTCTCTGTCTCCCGTCTGATCGATGTTTATAAACAATGTTACTTTTTATCCCTCTATCTCCTGTCTGATCGATGTTTATAAACAATGTTACTTTGTATCTCTCTGTCTCCCGTCTGATCGATGTTTATAAACAATGTTACTTTGTATCTCTCTATCTCCCGTCTGATCGATGTTTATAAACAATGTTACTTTGTATCTCTCTATTTCCCGTCTGATCGATGTTTATAAACGATGTTACTTTGTATCTCTCTATCTCCCGTCTGATCAATGTTTATAAAACAATGTTACTTTGTATCTCTCTATCTCGCGTCTGATCGATGCTTATAAACAATGTTACTTTGTATCTATTTTCCGTCTGATCGATGTTTATAAACGATGTTACTTTGTATCTCTCTATCTCCCGTCTGATCAATGTTTATAAACAATGTTACTTTGTATCTCTCTATCTCCTGTCTGATCGATGTTTATAAACAATGTTACTTTGTATCTCTCTATCTCCTGTCTGATCAATGTTTATAAACAATGTTACTTTGTATCTTTTTATTTCCAGTCTATAAACCAGAGGCTCTGGATGGACAGTTGGATAAATGGTTCTATATTTAGGACGTATCCGGTCTATAAACCAGAGGCTCTGGGTGTACAGTTGGATAAATGGCTCTATATTTAGGACGTATCCGGTCCATAAACCAGAGGCTCTGGGTGTACAGTTGGATAAATGGCTCCATATTTAGGATGTATCCGGTCTATAAACCAGAGGCTCTGGGTGTACAGTTGGATAAATGGCTCCATATTTAGGATGTATCCGGTCTATAAACCAGAGGCTCTGGGTGTACAGTTGGATAAATGGCTCTATATTTAGGATGTATCCGGTCTATAAACCAGAGGCTCTGGATGGACAGTTGGATAAATGGTTCTATATTTAGGACGTATCCGGTCTATAAACCAGAGGCTCTGGATGGACAGTTGGATAAATGGTTCTATATTTAGGACGTATCCGGTCTATAAACCAGAGGCTCTGGATGGTCAGTTGGATAAATGGTTCTATATTTAGGAGGGATCCGGTCTATAAACCAGAGGCTCTGGATGGACAGTTGGATAAATGGTTCTATATTTAGGACGTATCCGGTCTATAAACCAGAGGCTCTGATGATTGGACAGTTGGATAAATGGCTCTATATTTAGGATGTATCTGGGCCACAAACCACAGATACCGTTCAGCTTTCAGTTGGGTATACAGAAATATTTCGGAGTTATAGGAAGTAGTAAGAAGGGTTAATGGCCGCTTTTGAACTTTCTATGATGTGGATTATTATCAGCAGAATATCAGGAATATTCTTGTCTCTCGGGGTCGAGTTTTCTTCCTCATGTCCTTTGGAAGAGTTTTATTTCTGGTTTTTTTTTTTACATGAAATATCTTTTTTTTGAAGATAAGCAAAAGACAAAGAAGTAAAGTTTCCTCTTGAAGTGAAGAGTGATGGTATTTAGATACATCTATTGAATATATAATAATCTCATCATTAGGAAGCCCCTTAGGCAGCGAATATTTTGTCCTTGAGAACGAAGCGGCATTGTCCTTCAGGCGTCAAAGGGAAGACATCCGAATTTCCAATCCCCCCAGCGCGGCCCCTTTTACAACGGGGGCAGA